ACCCTTATACGAAAAGATAAGGAGCCTGCTGAAAATACCTTCCGGACCCGCATGCGGCTTGTAGACACTGGTTGGGCCATTAATTCGGATATTGAATTGGAAATGTAGTGAAAGTAAGCCTTTATTCACCGATGTTTGTTTGCTAACAAGCTTGCTCTCGCCCGCTATCAGCGGAACCCTGCACGCTTCCGGTTTTCGTTTCTTTTCTTTTTGTTCCGCATCTTTTTGTTATTTCTTCCACTCCCTACAACGCTCGCGGGTTCTTACAAATGTACTACAGATACTTGTCCGAAGGAAACACTTCTTACCCAATCGATGTGCGCTACTCACGAACTAATCAATACGCTACCGGAAGTCTACTGCGATAATAAATATTGCGGTAACCTCGTGGTATCAACTCCCTCCCAATGCGGCGAATAGATGACGAGTTCGCCACTTTCTTCCTATAGTCATATGAAAGGTCACTGCCTTTCTAGACTCACCATATCCATAGCGACATGACGTGGCAGTTAAAACGGATGGCTTGCACTGGGGTTCCAACCTATCTTGCGTGAAAAACTAAAGTATGCAACACTGGACGCACACGTCATCCGAGATGACGCTATACGGCGCATGGAGCGCGTCTCCGACCGGTGTGTTCAGCGCGCCCTCAAAAGTGGTCCCTCGATTTCCGCTTCATGATATCATACAAGTGTTACGTTGTTGTCTGCCACAATCCTGGTGGTGGCACAGCAACGGAGATGGATAGAGCAGATGCCTCTGCTCTATCCATCTGCCAGCGGAAACCCAAGCAGACACCCGACGTGGCGCCGCGACGTCGGCGGCGGCCCTCGCGTCTGCTCGACTTTGTCCTCTAGCGTTTCAACGGCCAACCGCCAGGATTGCGACATGGCACGACGAAACGGCATTGGCGGGATCCGATGGTAAGCACACCAGTCGAAGACGCGTTGAAGGGACCGTAAAGCCGCTCAGGTACACATGCTAATACAGCATACACAAGACAATGTGCAGACAGTAGGGAGTTTTAGGGAACCGTTTTTGGACATCCGATACGGTACGATGAGTCCTCCGGAACGAACTGCGCATGCGCTACCACAGAAGACTGGCACATGCGCACTTCGTACCGGAGGGCCCATCATACCGTATTGGATGTGCAAAAACGGTTCCCTAAAACTCCCTACTGTCTGAGGCGTGTTTCTTGCTTATATGCAACGCTCCCGTCACATTGCTCATACAAACACTGTCTGTAGGCATGTTAGGAATCATACATACATACATACTCGTGTGTAAGAAGCAAACGTGCTCCGTGTATCTGGAGACGGTGTCCGCAGATAGCCCTGTCAACATGTCCGCGGAGAACACCGCGCCTTTTGTACGACGGTCAAGCGGCGAGAACGCGGCCTATGCGGAGGGCAAGTTCGTCTGCTTCTTGCGCAAGGGGTAGCGGTGACGTCACAACGCCGAGCCCTGATTGGCTGATCGCGACCCAATATCTGAGCGTCGTCTGCTCCTTTGCAACGTCGTCTGCTCGCAACGTCGTCTGCGTCTGTCTCACATTTCCTGTGACTTTGGGAAGTGCAGAGGCCAGATTCACGAAACAATCTTATCGCGAAAAATGTGCGTAAGACAAAACGTAAGAACAAATTCGTATTCACGAAACAAAATTATCGTAAGTTTTGCGCAGGTTACGACGGAATCCTACGACAGCTCTGAAGCTGTCTTACGCACTTCTTACGATCAAATCAGCAAAGCCGACAGCGTCGCGGTCGCGACGACCCACGGACGTTTATTTTTCTACGTGTTTTTCTCACGCTTCCCGACTTCAAGCAACAAGAAAAAAGTAAAGAGGTCTTGAAACAGACCACGACGAACAAGAACGCCGGATCCACAAACACCCGGGAAAAGCTCCAACGGCCACGATTCCACCGAACGCGACCAAGCGAGTTTGGCAGTTAGGTTAGGTTAGGTTAGGTTAGGTTAGGTCAGTGGCGGATGCAAGGGGGGGGGCAATGGGGGCGATCGCCCCCCCCTAAACGCCTCGCCAGGCAACCCCCCCCCCCCCCGGGGTTCTTCGTCAGCTCGAAGAAAAAACGTAAGCAATCGACGCGAGAAACAAAAGATTAAAACAGCGGTGGGTGGACGCGCCTGCTGGGCGCTTCCAAAGTGGGGTTTATCTCCGTCAAGGTCACGGTACGTCTTCCCGACAGGGACGGCGCCAGGAGCTTCGAAGTGGAGAGACAGTGGGGAGCCGCACCAAATATCATGGTCCTCGACTGCAGGCACACTTCCAAACAAGGCCAGCACGTCGAGCACGAGGGGAAAATACCTTCAACATACCTGGTCCCCTTCCTCTCTCTCTCTCTCTCTCTGTCTCCCTCTCTCTTTTTGGGGGTTGTCTGCGAAAAATTTGTGCCCTGAAAGCTCCCAAACGCAGACGTCAAGCAGCCTTCCTCAAGGGTAGCGGATTATCCTTCCTCTCTAGCGGCCGCCTTTTCATCACTTTTCGTTTGATGGTTTCTTCGTGGTTCTGGGCTTGTCTTTTGGCATGTCTTTTTTGGCTTGCTTTGAGATGCTGTCGCCCACGGGCTCACTAAAGGTGGCACGGTGTGCTCATTGCCGAGGCAAGTGCGGAGGGGACGTACCGGGAGGAGACGTTCCAGGGGGGGGGGGGGGATGCAGCTTGTACAACCAAGTGTCAAATTGCTTTTCTTCTCAACTGAGAGAGGAAGCAAATACTTTGGGTACAGTGTAGTCTGTGTCTGAGCTTCTCCTGAAGACGCTCCGGACTTCCCCACGACCTTGGCTTAAACATAAGCCCGCTTTCGTCCTCGCCTCCATCCCTCACTGAGGAACAGCGCCGCAGCGTGGTATACAGAAAGAAGCCGACGAGCGCAAGAAGGGGGAGATGTTTCCTCTAATGTGCTTCATACTGCCTGCGGTATGACTTCTCGTGGCGGGAAGCTAATAAAAGAAAGATAAACGGTACGAGCACTCTAGAGGCTGTATGCTGCTTACACGGGGTCCTCAAGCCGACGCCGTAGGCATTTATTTGTATACAATGCCGTTTCAACTTAGGGTGGCGGGACATATTTTAGGAAAGGCGCCCGCTACCCCTTGTCTCCCCTTGGCGCCGTCTTTTCCAGTTAAACGCGGCTTCTGTGGATTGACGGCAGAGCTTTCGCGCGGCTTTGCAGGAGCGAATATGTGTGTGTCGAACGGACTTGGGGAAAACGAGCCCTTTCAAAGATGCGGCTATACATAAATTAAATAGACAGTGCCTGTGCCCGTTCGAGTGAACACCGACTCCCAAACATCCATGCTGCAGTCGTGATCGGCCTTTACCCCAGTTGAGATTCGCTGACCTTACAACTGCTCTGCCTTATCATATCTCTGCACCTGTCCTCTCGACCCTGACGAATGAGCTAAATACCCAGAAACAAGTAAGTGTTCCTTTCACACAGAAAATATCCAGACAAAGTGCAATTGCATATAATTTGGAAGGATTCATTGGTGGTTTAAGGTCTTGTCTAAGTTTAAAAGTTATAGTTGCCGAACTGCAACATGCTTTCAAAAATATTCAACAATTATTCGCTTTCGTTCTCTCGAGTTGCATCCAGAACACGTGAAAACACGAGTTCGTATTGGCAATGCCGCACGTGTTGCGCTCTGGACATTCCAAATATACGGTGAACAACCAACGAACTTGCCTGGCAGCGTTCGTTTCACTCGCTGCGTCAACAGTGTTTGACGCCGCGAGCAGCGTCGAAGCCGCCGTTCCATTTTTGTCGCTTGTTTGCAACGTACTCGCTCCGCTGATTTAAGCCGCTCTTCCCGTTGCCGCCGCAGTTGAGCACTAGCTCCAACCACAATGTCTGCCAAGGCAATGTCTTTAAGCTTCCCTAAATCGACTGCTCACGTAGTGTCGGTCTAAAACCCAAATTTCAGAAAGGATAGTGTCACCACAATTTTCGAGATACTTACCTCTAGCGTGGTCACCTGAAAGGTTTTAATTCAAAGAGTTCATCCCCGACAGGTAAACCGATACAAAAGCTCTCAAGATCTATATTATGTTATCAGAGTTTAGTAAAAATGATAACTCCACAAAAAATATAAACACTCCCCCTCTCTCTCCCCCCCCCCCCCCCCGCCGTCTTACACCGAGGAACCGCCCCCCCCCCTAAAATGGAGGTCTGGATCCGCCCCTGGGTTAGGTTAGGTTAGGTTAGTGTGAAGTGAGTGAAGGCGGTTAGTGTCCGCGACTCGGCGACCGTCTGCCCACGACCGGCTGGCGTGCTGAATGGAACATGCCCGCGCGACCCTTGTGAACCCTTCCCGTATTATACTTTGATCGCTGACCTCAATTTTAGATTAAGAGGTCAATTTCTTCCTCTTGTTATCTCCTTGTTTCCCGAGGCAACGGTGACTCTCGCCGGTGAGAAAGCGGTCAATCTCCGACAGACGCAGGAAAGGTAAAGCAGCCATCGCTCTGACTAGCAGACGTAAAGCAGACGACGTTAACTGCGCCAACCCGCCGACGCCGTTAAACAGTGAGGGGTCTCGCCGCACACGAAAGGAGGGAAAAAATATTTGGGAGGGAACTTGCGGACACTAACCACCTTCACTCTCGGTTCTTAGCAAACAAACCTCGGCGCCTCGGGAAACCTCGCCAGTGAGTCCTTTGACTTCCCTCCTTGATGCGCGTCTGCTAGTTGTTAGACAAAAACAACGTACCGCTCGATTTATTTCGTCTGCCCTCTCTGAAAGGCGAAGTCGAGTTCGCTCGTAAAGACCTGCACTTCCGAAAGTCGCAGGAAAGGTAAGACAGACGCAGACGACGTTGCGAGCAGACGACGCTGCAAAGGAGCAGACGACGCTCAGATAGGGGGTCGCGATCAGCCAATCAGGGCTCGGCGTTCGGACATCACCGCTACTTCCTTTCTCATACGCAGAAGACGAAAATGAGCCCACTTGCGAGGCGTATAGAGAAACACACGACTCACTGTGGACTCCGACGAAAGCCGCCGGGTGGATGAACGCCAGGCCGTTCCTCTCCAAGTCCAGGGACACGAGGGTGCCCAGCCCGGAGAAGGCGCCTTCCGGCAGTTCGACGATGCGGTTGTCGGCCAGGTTGAGGATGTCCAGCGCGCTGCCCACCAGCGGGAACCGGTCCGGGGACAGCTCCGAGATGCGGTTCTCGTGCAGGAGCAGCTGCTGGAGCACTGAGATGCTCTGCAGGGACTCCGACGGGACCTGCCGCCACCAAAGGAATTTGGCGATGTGTGGAGGCTATTGGTCGAACTTTATACGCTCCATCGTTGTCGAAACACAGTCCCTAAAGCGAGGTTTGGATGCTCTTCTACGAACGGGCTATATACTAACACCACCTATATACGGCAAGGAAGTGTTCGAAAAATGCGTCTTTGGCACATTGGACCGCGGACCAATTAAAGGGTAACACATAGAGATCGCCCAGGAACAATCTTGATGTCAAAAAGGTGTTAAAATCGCTCTCTTTATTCTCTCCCCTGCAGCTCTCTTCCTCCGCAGTTTCTCCTCTGACTGAGCTGGCGTGTAGCAATAATAAGCGAGCGTGGTCACCTGCGAGAGCACGTTTCCACCGAGGTTGAGGCGCGTGAGGTTCCCTCCGACGCCCTGGAAGGCCATGGGGTCCAGGCTGACGATGCGGTTCCCGAAGAGCGAGAGCCTCAGCAGGGACACGAGGCCCCGGAAGGCCCACGCCTGCACCGCCTGGATGCGGTTGTAGCTCAAGTTGAGCGTCACCAGCGCCGTCAGCGCCTGCAGGGCTTCCGTCGGTACCTGGGTAGAGGAACAAGCAGGAGAGACGCGCCCGTCCGTCATGGCCCTGGAGTCAACTATGCGGAGCACACGTTTGTCTGCTTCTTGGGCGGGGAATGCAGTGATATCACAACTCCAGCCTCTGATTGGCTCCGATTGGAAAGATAGTGGGAAGACCTCGATGCTACCTGTCTTGAGGTTTTACCCATTATCTTTCCAATCGGAGCCAATCAGAGCTCGCAGTTCTGACGTCACCGCAACCGCTGTGCAAGAAGCAGACGAACTTGCGCTGCGTATAGACCTTTGCAAAAATCGCCTTCTGTACGCTGCCATCTTTGTCTGCTGGGCTTTGGAACGCCTTCTGAGCATGCGCTGTTCCTCTGTTCTGCGGCATATCAGGCACTGCGCATGCGTTCACAGCTCAGTGACTCAGCATTTTTCGCCCGGGTGATAAGCGATGGAAATGTCTATACGGTCCGTGAGAGAACAATAGGGGGCGCTTCGAAAAACGGACGTAGTGCGCCACTATCGGAGGAGCTGGCGTTCGACGGTGAGACGCGTCTAGCAGCCTGCGGCACCCTTTCGCGTGCGATGCAGTGGTGGCAGAAGTGCTTACTGACGAAACTTTGGTTATTCGAGCCGACATGTTGAGGGTGGCGTTGCATGAGGCCTGGGGCAGACCTGTTAATGCTCATCTAGCTGCTACCCGCTTCTTATATATACCAGGAAATACATATAAACATTTTCAATAAATCACAATACACGCTGTCATCCGACAATCATTCCCGTCTTCGACAAGGCGCAGCCACTTTACTCTTTCACAAAATCGCACGAGTGATTGATATCCTGAAATGAGTATACCACGAATCCATTGAATTCAGTGCGGGGAATAGAAATTTAGATGATGTAAATCGTGATTTATTCCACACCAATTTCAATATGGTGATTTTCCCTCAAAAACACATGTCTCAGAAAAAAAAAATCATTTTCTCTATTAAAAAAAAGAAAAAAAAAAAAGAAAACGGAGACGACGAACAAAGAAGGCGGCGAACACAAAACGTTTTGTGTTTGTCCCCTTCTTCGTCCGTCGTCTCCGTTTTATTTTTCCAAATATGTGTAGCATCAACCAGCTCACCTCTTTACTTATTCTTTCTTCAAATCCTTTGCACAAAATTAGTCCTAAAATACTTTTTAATTTATTGTTTCTGTCTGTAATATGATGGTGTCCTTGCCTATTTATTTAGTTTTTAATAAGAAAAATTCCGTCAAATATAAAAAAAAATTATAGCAAGCTGAACACGAACGCAAAAATCAATTTCCCGTGTTTAGAGAAAAACAAAACACTAATGGAAACCAGACAGCTATTTTTTAGGTAAAATGTTGCTATATATATATATATATATATATGTTATATTTTAGCAAACTTAGAAGAAATTTATTGTAATTTTTAAAGTATGATTTCTATTTTTTATTTTTTTGGGGGCTGTATGAATTATTTTTCATTAATTTTATCAAAAACAATTCCAGCGTTTTGTTTTTTATGTGCCAAAAACGCGATTTCAACGTCCGAAAGGCTCATCAAAAAAGAAAGCAGTGTTAAACTTTCAGACTCAAACGTCAATTTTCTAGCGATTTCGAGTTTCATCGTACTTTTCCTTAGATTCACTTCTTTCACTTTGTGCACCATCCTAATATTTCTTCAGGAAGTACAAACTGCATGCGATACTGGTCCGGAAATATCATAGACATACAGGATAGTGACGAAACGTATTTTTAGTGCAAGCGCAAACCCACGAGCAGGGATGGGCAGTATTTCAAATACAGGTATTTGAAATACGTATTTCAGATACTTTGTGTATTTTGCATTTGTATTTAATTACAAATTGGGTAATGTATTTGACGTGTGTATTTAAATACTAAAACGTGGGTATTTCAAATACAATTGTAATTAAATGCACTTTTCTGGGCGAAAATACATCCCTCAAATTTATTGTCACTGTCCAGAGCAGGAAGAAAACTACGTTCTGCACCAAATGCAGTGTCTCTCAATCAAGCACAAGCGTTTAGTGACTTTCTGATTACGGTGCTAGTCCAGGGCAAGAAAACTGACGAAATCGACGTTCATAGGCAGACTGGCTAAATAAGTGCCTGTGACAACTTGTGATGCTTTGCAGCCTGATTTCTACCCATATGTTTTCCTGGAACATTCTAAATGCGCGGGTCATCCAGATTTTCGTAACTGGTGCGAGTTGCAACAATAAAAAATCTCTAGCTATACTTCGTTTCACCTTAAGTTGTACCGCAGCGAAGGCTAGAAGCGCGAGCTCATAGCGTTGACAGCTGCCCTTGGTGCACGAGAGCTTGTGCCGCCGAGATGTGCCCCAGAGCAAGGAGCTCGCGCTTGTAGCCTTTCCTGCGGTACATCATAAGGTGAAACAGCGTATAGTGCTGCGCGTCTTGGTTGTCTCGGTTCTTTCTTGGTCTATACCAAAATGTAATCGACAAAAAAAGCTGCTTGAAGCTCTGTACTTTTTTCACCTATTACGTCCCAGCTGATTACATTTTTTGTGATTATATTTCTATTATGTTACTAGAGCCTGGCACACTAACTCCCGAGTGTGCGATGCAAAATTAAAATGAGATACCCAGAAACCCGATGTAGGTGCCCTGAAGTCACTGACGCAAATTTTAAGGAATGTATTTGGAAAAGTATTTGGAGGAGACCAAATACATTTGGTTGTATTTGTATCTTGTAGTTAAATGCTTTTCTGGAAATGTAATTAGATTTGTAATTAAATACATTTTTGACGAAGTATCTTGTATTTGTATTTCGATACATATTTGCTTGTATTTTGCCCATCCCTGCCCACGAGCGTTGCGAGAGTGGAATGATATTCCAGTCCGTCCCATTAATGCTAAAACATACAGGCGTTACTGGCACAAAAACAAACACAGCGCGCGAAGCGGCTGTATAGACTATGTCAGGCGTGTTGATGCAGTGGCAAACATAATAGAGCGACCAAACTTCTTGCTTCGTACAGCACGGGTCCATCGTTGTCGCTACTCCAAAAAACAAACAACGGCAAGCTAAAAAAAAAACACAAAAAAAACAATGAATTTGTGTTTTTACGAGACACAACGCGTTACCATTGGGGCACTTAATGACACCGCAGTTCATAGTGTCAACCCAGCGCACCCGGGCCGCTCCGACTTCAATGGTTACTAATGAATGCGACGTTTCCTTTCGCAAGGGGTACTCACAGCCGACCTTCGGTGACAGCCGCGCGGCGACGGGTCGGTCGCCTCGCGCGGGGTGTGTATAGGACCTTTCGTAGACACGCTTGCTCCGTCAGTGAAATTGCACTGAAACGCGTCATTGACGGGTGTGTTTGGCGCTCAATGCACTGTTTCCCAAATATCAACAAAATACGCAAGTCACAGAAGCCGCCAAGAAACACTTTCAACCGTCACAACGTCATAGGCGGCGTTTACATAGATGCGACAGTGGCGCATCGAATTCAGAGGGCACCAATGACAGTTGCCCAGTATTCCTCCTTTTTCCTCTTCTACCGAATCACGATTGATACATCTCGATTAGATGCGCTACGGTCGCATCGGTGTACCCGCCACTTTAGCAACTGGCTACGTTTACATGGGTGCGACGCGTCGAACTTAAAGGGAACCAATGACACACTCCCAGTCTACCTGCTTCTTCCTCTTCCACCCGATCACTATCGCCATGTCTGGATTCGATGTGCTACGGTCGCATTCGGGGACCCGCGGCTTCTGACAGCTTACGAAACGTTGTAGGTGGCTCAATATTTATTAATTTATTTATTTATAGTACATCCCCCAAGCGCCGAAGCACTGTAAAAAGAAAAGAAAAACAAAAGAAAAATGGCAAAACAAACAAATGTGGCGAGAAATACAAAACAATGCACTCTGATTAGCAAAAATTGAAAGCAACATCTGTTACGAACAAAATAAACAAAAGCAAATGGTTCATATTGGCTTATCACACAGAAATGTAGACAGAGATTTACGAAAAAGAAAATATTCGGGTATGTTGCGGTATCTGCTGGAAGGTGGTTCCAGTCTTTTGTCGTATGAGGGATATATGAATAAAAAATGGTGTTCGCCTTGGCAACGTTTTAATTGAACTTTATTCTGATAGTGCACACGGGAAGAGTAATAGTTAAGCTATGTAAAGAAATGGTATTGAAAAGACTGATGATAATACGCTTTATAAAACAAGCAAAGTAAAAAACAAACAAAAAAAAAACCTTTCTACAGAATGACAAGCAGGGTAACAACACAGTGGACTTTATTGATGACATGCTGGTTTTTCGGTTATAATCAGACAGAATGAAATGAACGGCGTTATCTTGAACTAGTTCGAGAGTTTTACGTAGAACGGCGTGGCTAGGATCCCAAATGGAGGCTGCGTATTCTAATTTCGACCGTACAACAGTGCTATAAAGAAGAAGTTTTAAGTTAACTGGGGCCGTCATGCAGTTCCCTCGTAGGTATCCTAACATGAGGTTAGCTTTGGCGATTATTATACAGACATGAGGTTTCCAGGTTAAAGTCGATAATATACTAACACCTGGATAACGGTATCAGTTCACAGATTCAAGTTGAATGTCGGTCAGTCTATATATGCTGAAGTGCGTGCGCCTTGCCGGGAAACCGTACATTAGTTTGCATTTGTTAGGGTTTAGTCAGAGCCGTATATTGGGAGACTTTGGCCAGTGGGTGTGGCGACGGAGGCGCCGGAGAGGAGAAAAGTAAATGAAAGGAGGGAGAGCGCCGAAGGAGCGAGAGAGAAAGAAAGGAGCAGAGAGGAAACGGCCGCCATTTTTTAGCAACGCTGTCGGAGACTGGCCGGAGAAGAGCACTGCTGAGGCTACGCGTCGTCTGCTACGGGCCGGCTTCTTTTTCGCCTGAATAAAAGTTTGTGGCCATACGCCGAAAAATCTTCATTTATTAGATTTTTAACCCACCGAGGAATAACAGAATGT